CACCCACAGCAAAGAAATGCATTGAAAAAAATTGGAGTTTTTTTTATTGTACCAAGAAATAGCTGGTGTGTATTTTTAGAATAGATTCAATGCGTACATGCCCACAATCTATTTTTTAATTTTGAACTCAGACCAGAGAGAACTCACAAAACACCCTCCATTCTGCCAGTTTCTCATTTCAAACTCTTTGCAAAGTACATTTTAAAGAATGGGGATGTAAATGTGACTTGTACAGAACACAACAAAGTGCACACCTCATCGCCTGTTACTTGTACTAAATGTTCTGCCTGATGCAGTTTTTTTCCATTGATAACAATTCTGAAAGCTCCATCTACTAGCTATAAGGACATTGTGCACACCAAAGAGATTTCTGATAAGGAAATCCCACCATAAGAGCCCCCACAAGTGACAATGTAGGTACACAGACAGTCTCAGTGAAAAGGTCTGCAAAGCACCAAGTGTTCACTTAACTACTGTTTTGGGAAACCATTCATTAATAAATGACTCCCCTATAGTGTATTTGTTTTGGAAAAAAGAAAATAGCACTGCGCTTCAAACTCAAAAATTATATTCCTAAAATGTTAAAAATTTGTATGCAATGTGAAATTGTCACACAGTGACAATTTCACACAGTGTAACGCAGTTTTTTTTTTTCTGGATCAGCCACATGATCACTGGCAACACCTGACCTCAGGACTGGAGATTTCATCCCTCCCTGAAATCTTAGAAATCTCCAGAGATCCAGATCCCAGTTACAATCCAGAAAAGATGGAAGAAACTGAAAGGCCAGCTTCTTCCCTGTAAATCTATTAATATTCTGGAACATCTCAGCCCCTCTGGCTGAGAGTCCTGGGTGTCTGTGTCGCCAGCATCTTGCATGGCATTGCCACAATAGTTATATAGTTAGTCAGGTTGAAAATAGACACATGTCCATCGAGTTCAACCTATAGAGATATTTTGAAGAAAAAAAAAAAAAGCCTAAACTGAATGCCATGCCCCCAATTACCCCTTGTTGATCCAGAGGAAGGCAAAAAAACCCTATAAAGCATGGTCGAATCTGCTCCAACAGGGGAAAAACATTCCTTCCTGATCCCATAAGGCAATCGCATATTCTCTGGATCAACAATCTTTGATGCTTAATATACCTATAAAATCTCAATATCCAGTAATTGTCTGGGCATTTAGGAATACATCCAGATTTTTTAAAAACAATTAACTAAGATAGCTGGAACTAGCTCCTGGGGGAGTCTACTCCACATTTTCACAGCTCTAACTGTGAAGAATCATTCCCGTATGCAAAGGTTAAACCTCTTTTCCTCCAGATGCAAAGAGTACCCCTGTCCTTTGCAGTGACCTTAAAGTGAATAATTTGGTACCAAGCTCACTATATGGGCCATTTATGTATTTATACATTGTGATCATGTCCCCCCTTAATCACCTCTTCTCCAGAGAGAACAAATTCAGGTCAGTTAATCTTTCCTCATAGCTGAGCTCCTCCATGCCTCATATGAGTTTAGTCACCCTTTGCTGCACTTTCTCCAGTTCCAAAACATCTGGAGAAAGTGCAGCAATATGATGCAGATGGTCAAGTGGGGTTGAGAGCAAGGGAGAAGAAGCGGAGGTAGTCAACCTGCTGAAGCCACCCCATAAACCAACGAAAGAGTCACATGGGGCAGCTTCCAGAAAAGAAAGGAGGAGATGAAGGCTTCAGAAATGGGAAATGGTGGAGCATGCACACTGAGAGTGGCAACACAGCAGCCAAAGGATTGGCTGCTATAGCATTGCCACTGACAATAGGGAAGTGCACTGAATCTGCAGAATAAACCAATTACTAACATTGAAAATATTCATGATGGAAAAGTTAGGCACCCAGATAGGGATTACAATTTTAAGATAATGACACATAAAATTGGGATTAGTGACACATTAATTAATATAACTTCATGAAGAATGCAGCAGAGGAACTCAATAACAGTGTGAAAGGGTAGGAACTCCAGCAGGAGGAATTCTCCTTTGGGGAGCCCTGAAGATATCAGTAGCTTCTTGGTGCTTAGCTTGTGTTTTCATCACTTTGAAGAGATATACACAGTTGAGACTAAAACCTGTCACAAACCCAAGCAACTGAAACATATTATCTTCAGTGAAAAGCACTGTCATGATCATTAGGTCCAGAAACTTGCAAAGCCGAAGTTCGGTATATCTCATCACCCTAGAAGACGTTTTATATAGCTGTGAGTCTAGTTCCACTCTTGTTCATTTATTTTATTATTCCGCAGAGCGTCATATTACTTCCAAGAAAAGCACAAAAAGCCTGAATGGAAGGAATATAACAAGGTGTGCGTTTTGTGTCGGGTAAACATCATCTTCTATGTTTATACAATAATGAAGCTGCATATCTTTGACGTGGTGGGGTGTTCTCCAACCAAGTAAAAACATGTTCAGTTGAACAGAGAATATGTAATGATGTGTGATTATCAATTTATTAACTACAAAGCACATAGACATGACACATCACAGATTATTCAAATATAGAAACCAAATGTAACATTTGGGCTTTTCTCTATTTTACACCAGTAGAAGTCATACACTGTACCCAGCAGCGTTGCCCTGCGGTCGGTATTTTAAATTCCGTTCGCAAAAGGTGAGCACTTCTTACTAAGAAGCTTCTCAATAAGTGCTCACCATTTGTGAGCGGAACTTACAATACTGATGGCAGGGCTGCGCTGCTGTGTACAGTGTACAAATCCTACACTGGCAGTCATGGATGGGAAGGGGTGTTTCTTGGCAGGTAAGAGCAGCAGGGAAGAGGGAGTAAGAGGGGGCACATGGTGGGGGTAATTCCATTTTCCCAAATTCGCCTGGAAAATTAGAATAACCATTTAAAGCTTGACGTTCGAAAAAGTATGTGAGCTTCTTTTGGGGCAGAGATGAACGCTTTGGGCCACATTGACTTAACTGGGAGTGCCTAAAAAAATTCAAGAAAAATGCATGTTTTCTTGCCTTGTTACTAGTTTTCCTTTGGTAATAATAAAAACGCTCAAGCCTGGAACACATTCAGAAACATGCAAAAACGCCTATACATATGCTCCTTATAAAAAGATTGAAAAATGACCAAAGATGCAAAGTGTGAAAGGTGCATGTATAAAATGCAGAAAATCATGCATATACATATTCAGTGTTGTCATAAAAAGACAACATATTACTGCAATAGCATGAATGTGTTCAATGTGCATAGGCCTTACAAACGCACAATATATAGGATTTTTCAATAATATGACTAAGAACTAAAAGATGCCAGTGGTGAATATAATACAATATATAAATAGTTTTTAAGAGGGTTTTCTAATATCAACATGGAACCCTTCCACTTACGCATGTATGTTGACTGGTGGGGGGGTCCCTCATCATCGTTTTAGCATTTGTTAATGCAAGAGTTAAATCAGAGTTACATCTTAAAAATACATTCAAGTACCTTAACTATTAACAAAAAAATATCTTATCGGCTGTAGATCCTCAAATCATCTCTGAATTGGTGCGGACACTGTCCTTTCTTCTGGAGGGTGGCTACTTTGGTTCCCCATGGGCCCTGTGTGTGTTGTAAAGTAGTCACCGCTCCAAGCTCGCTCCCGTGATGGACTACAATCTCAATAAAAATTAGTAAACTAAACCTTCACAACATGCACAGGGACCATGGGGAACAAAAGCAGCCCGCCTCCAGAAGGAAGGACAGTGTCAGCACCAATTCAGAGATGATTTACAGCCGAGTGAAAAACAAATACGTTTTTTTTATATATTTAAGGTACTTGAATGTATTTTTAGGATTTAACTCTTGAGTTTAGTGTAACTTTAAGAAGCAAGTTTGAGGCCGCTGAACTACTTAGATTCTCGGTCATCTCTCTGTGATTTAGATCTTATCTCCAAACCCATTACAGGAAATGAACAAAAGATCTCTATCTGTCATGCATCACGGTTTATAAATATTGGCATATACAGATATACTGAGAGTAGATGTTTTGAGGGTCCTGGTCTTTCATCTAAACATCCTGTGCGTAGAATGTAACTATCTACCCAGGTCATAACTGAACAGTCTATTTGCATTTGCTTTGGTGGAACGGCCTCCTTCTGGGATTTAATGGCCCACAATGAGATGAAGTGATAGGACGGATGACCTAAGAATGCTCTGTTATATCAAGTTTGAACCAGATGAGATGAGAAGAGATTTTTACAACATAAAGTTCACAAAATGTACAGTATGACTAAAGTTCATGCAGAATTTATCCACAACGTCACTGCTCAGCCATATCTTGCTAATTTATGAGAAAATGCTGGCTACAAAAAAAGCTGCTTAAAGTTATGTTTTCCCCCATAGTTCTCTTTAGGGTCACAGGAGGACATTTAGTAACCTCCTCCCGTGACCCAAAGCTCAGTATATAGCGAGCTATTGACCGCGATGTACTGATAGCGCCGCAGCCGGGACGGATCCCGACAATACTGTCTGGATCCATCCAGCTGCGTGAGTGACAGCTGGCTCTGCCAATCTAGAGGCAGTGCCAGCTGTACCCACCCCCTCCCCCGTCCGTTCCGCCAGTCAGCGCTGGAGGATCGGAGCGGGGAGAGGTGGAATCCCTGAGGGGACAGTCACCGCTCTCTGCAGGGAGATGATCAGAAAGTGAGCAAGCGACTGTAAGTGTTCGCTCACATTCCGATCAATAGATCCGACCTGTGACAGCTTCTTTGTCACAGGTCGGCGCTAACTATGAGGATGAGTGGAAATCACACACCTCATAGTTCTCCTTTAAGAATTTGGTGGGAGATTTTGCCCACCAACCTCCAACAGTAACTAAAATAATTGTTTGGTGTGCACCAATCCTTTTACAGACTCACTGGGAGATCTAATCCTAACTTTTTCACAGTAATCCATTTTGGAATTGGCCCAACCTTAATAGTAAATTAGTGATAATACATTCAAGCATTTAGAGAGAGGTTCATTGAAATGTTACCTTGGCTTCTTCATTCACATCCCAAGTAAAGGACACGGCATTATAGGCTATTTCTTCAATGTTTCCAATGGTGTTGAAACTTTCTTTGTAGTCAGCTAGTAACAAGATAAAAAATTATGATTACTATGATCAGTGAGAATAACAATATACACCACTGTGTACATTTGCAAGAAGAAAAATGTTACTTTGATAATTTATTGTGAAGAAAAAAACAGGACAATTTGTTGTTGAATATTACAGACAATCTGCTTATGACAATTATTTTGCTATTGGCTATTAGACAATGAAAATAATGCATGATTAGATGATATAAGGAGACAGCACATCTTGAAGCTCAATTTTTATTTATGGTATTGCAGGTGTATTAATCTTATTTTATATTATTTTAATGTATTATTAAGTCAGGAGCTATTTTCCTACCTGCCTAAGAAACCATCTTCAGTTGTTAGATAAATCCTACATTTGTTTTTATACCTTTAAACATTAGAAACAGAAGAGTGACAGAAGAAAAAGACCAAGTGGTCCATCCAGAATGCCCCTTTTTTATTTTTTGGGTTTTATTTTTGTTATTTTTATTCATTATGATCATTATGATCAGTAAGAATAACAATATACTATACATTTTAACCATTTTGTCTGAGCATAGATCTATGTTTGTCCCAAGCATGTTCAAATTGGAATGACACCTTTTATAAATAAAAAATAATAAATGCATACTTCAAAATGTGCGTTTAGTATTTTTTTTGCATTGGAGCCAGTAAAGCATTGCAACCGCGATCAGAAGATTGCAATGCTCTGGCTGCTGCAGACTACACCTACTGTCCACCTTGGACGTTCAGTAAGATGGGTGGGAGGTAGTTTTAGTGGACTATTCCATTGAAAACTTCAAGTCCCTCTGCTGCAGTGGGACTTGTAGTTTTCCCATTCACAGATCCTGTCAACAGCAGCAGCCTGCGGGGAGAAGAACCCAGCGATTCAGGTAAGTGGGGAGGCAAGAGGGGGGTGGGGAGTATGGCAATCTGACCACAGCATATTTTACACCCTGAATATGTAAATTCACTTACTGTTGACTCACTCACTACCCCTGCTGAAAGTCTGTTCTAAGCATAAATGGCTCGCCAAAATCCACTAATTATAGGGAACTGCTCCTTTTAGAAGAGATTGATCAAAAGATCAATTAAAGATCCAACAACTATACCGTGAAGTTCTCTTAGAACCTTGGGATGAATACCATCAGAAATCATTGCTATAGCTTTAACTGAGCCAGTTTACCTTCTAGCTCTGCTTCTAGAAACCCTGAAAATTATCCTTTGCCGCTAGAACCAATATTATCATCCATCTTGCTTTTGTTAGTGTCATTTATTTCTGAGAAGGCTGAACAGAAGTAATTGTTTAACTGTTTTCTACATCCAGGTATCCCTCAACATAAATATTGTAACCAGTTTTCAATCTTGTATTTTCTTTTCTTCCTGTCACTGATATATCTTAAAAAAGTTTTTTGTCTCCTTTCTTAATAGATTTGGCCATTTCCTCTTCTCTCTGTACTTTAGTAACACTGATAATATGCTCGGCCTCCTTTTATCTGTTTTGATATACTTCTCTATCAGCTACGCTTTCTGTTTCCTTGTATATCCAAATCTTTTTTTTCTCTTTTAGTGTTACTATTTTTATTATTCGTTTTATTATTCTATTTTTACCTCTGTAGTGAAAAATCATATTTCTTACTTCCATTTACTCGTACTAAGTTGCCTGACATGTAATCTAGTTGCCTCCGTGATGGTAGACTTTAATAGTGCCCACTGATTACTGACTGCTGCCATTTCACTCCAACCGTTTAATTCATTTTTTTAGAAATTGACCTATTTCAGCAAAATGTGTCTCTTTGAAAGCTAAATCTTTTGTGTTGTATATGATTTTTCAGTCTTTGTTCTAATATTAAACTAAAGACATTGGTGATCGGTAGATCCCAAATGTTCTCCCACCTCAGGATCTGACAGTGGATCTCCATTTGACAGTACCAGGTCTAGAATATGATCTCCTCTGGTTGGGTTTTCTACTAACTGTTTAAGAGAAACCCCTTTCAATGCCTCCAAAATATCTGTGTTCCTGCTTATAAGTGCAGTTTTAAAACTCCAGTTAATGTCCAGCATGTTGACGTCACCCATAATTTAAACCTCTTCCTTCATTGTCATTTGAGTTATCTTGTCAATCAACAGGTTTTCATAATCTTCAGATTGTCCTAGGGGCCTGTACACTACAGCAGTTGTAAGGGAAGAACATATTCTGGTTTGCAGGCAGATCCAGCGCATTTCAGGTAATTTGTTTTTCTAATTATTGTTAGTTTTATGCCCTTTTGACATAAATAGCGACTCCACATTCCCCTATTTCCTACTCTGTCTTTTGCTATATAATGTGTACACTAATACAGTTATTTTCCAATCATTTGAATACCTAATTAATGTCACTGTAATCACAAAAGAGTCCAAGTTATCCATAGAGTTGCCAGCCCACAGAGCTTGTTACCTAAACACTGCCATCTACTGTTGGATGTTTTACACCAGAACTTTTAATTGTATTAAAGGAGAACTATGAGATGAGTGATTTCCACTCACCTCATAGTTTTAGCCGAACTGTGACAATGAGACTGTCACAGGTCGGCTCAGTAGATCGGGAGGTGAGCGAACACATACCGGGTTCGCTCACCTCTCGATCCTGTCACGGCTCTCTGCCGTCACAGGGGGAGGGGCTGGATTCCCCCCGCCCCGCTCCGATCTGCCAGCGCTGACTGGCGGAACGGACGGGGGAGGGGGCGGGTACAGCTGGCTCTGCCTCTAGATAGGCAGAGCCAGCTGTCACTCACGCAGCTGGGCGGATCTCGACGTCGATGTCGGGATCCGATCCGGCGTCTCAGTATACCGCGAGCTGTAGCTCGCGGTATACTGAGCTTAGGGTAACAGGAGGATGCTAGTTTGTGTCCTCCCGTTACCCTAAGGAGAACTATGGGGAAAAACACTGACCCCATAGTTCTCCTTTAACCACCACATCAGCAAAGTCTTTGGCAACATAGAGCTTCAAATTTGGTTTTCACTTGCTGGGGACAGAAATGTTCCTTACATTTAAATATTTGCCCCATTTTTGAAGTTTAAAAGCTTGTCTAAAAAAAAGTCTAAATTCCATACTAAGTAGTTCAGTACACTTGTGTGAGGACTAGAGACCACCTCGTATATACTACCCAGTATATCAGACCAGCCGGTTATATCATGACAATAACCATTATATTAGTTCCCCTCTATGCTTTTCCATTTCAATACATTCCCTCATGTGCTCCTCTATACGCGGGGGGGGCACAGAAGGAGACGATTCCAGTAATTACTTTGGAGGTATCAGGAATACAATGGGTTCTGCCTTCTGTACACACTAGATTTGGGGACCCACCACTGCAAACTCTCTTGACACATCTACTGGACGTTTGTGCATATTATAAATATTACAGGTGAAACTCGAATAATTAGAATATCGTGCAAAAGTAATTGCAGTAAGTGCGGCAAAAGGGGCCCAAACCAAGTACTGAGTACATATGCATGCTTGTACTTTTCAGAGGTCCGATATTGTTCTATGTACAATCCTTGTTTTATTGATTGCATGTAATAATCTACTTTTTTGAGGTTGTGGATTTGGGGTTCTTGGGGTTTTCATGAGCTGTAAGCCATAATCATCACAATTATGACAAATCAGGGCTTGAATTATCTTGCTTTGTATGTAATGAGTCTATCTCATATATTAGTTTCACCTTTTAAGTTGCATTAGTGAAATAAATGAACTTTGCACGATATTCTAATTATTCGAGTTTCACCTGTATATCATTAGCTGCAATGCACCTTATCCCTACATCACCTGCATACAATATCCTTAATTCACCTGGACCCTTAAGGTGCCCATACACCTTACAATTATCTGCAGATTTTCTGTGGTCAGATGGAAAAAGTGCAACAGATTGGCCCAGGTGGAGATAACTCCATCCACACAGTTAAGTGTAGATGGAGGAATCTGTTGCACCTTTTCCATCTGACCACAGAAAATCTGCAGATAATTGTAAGATGTATGGCCAGCTTTAGTCTCTTTTAACCTAGGACTCCAGCCAATAAAAGCAAGATACATTTTCCTGACCATGCTACAAATATGTGCAAATACTGTACATTGTAGTGAAAATGTTTGTTCTTGCTGAAATCTAATCACTGTAGCCATAGATAAAATACAAAGAGAGAGCGCTGTCACCTTTAGATCATGAAAAGTATTACTGGAAGGATCACTATGGGGTTTAAAAGCTTTAAGGGGACAGTTTAGACCGAAATACTTTCTTTTTTTTTTTTTACTAGGCCTATTAAAATAAGACGCAAGAAAGATCAATTTTATGTAAAGTACACTAACTAATTCCAGCCAATTACAGTTCAGAACTCAATACTGTAGTCAGATCAGTGGGGGGATGATTCCTAGTTGCACAATTTACATAGTTACAGCGTTGAACCAATAGATAAATCTGTAAGATCCTTTGGTATCGCCACAGATGATGAATTATATTGTATACTGTGTTATTTGTTATGCTATAGCCCTGACATCTGAAAACATTTTACACTCCGTAGACGTGAGATATACAGTTAGTGTACACTTAACGAGACACAGTGTGATGACAATGAAACAGAGAACTGAGAATGGTAGCCAAGGCCTGCTCTAAAACATCATATAAAGGTGTGGTTCAACACATAACGCAGCTATGACCCCTAACCCACAGGCCTTTATGTACATGGAAGGCTTTATAAAACAAACCAAACTGAACCAGTCTAAGTGAAGTATGTTGATTTATGATCCATTTCTTTATTCCTTTCAAGGGCGATAAGAAAAGATTTCAAAGCGAGGGGATAAGTAAGCTGCAATATGGGAAACTGCTCATTAGCCATTCTCTTCCAAAATATTCTAAAATATGACTTTTAAATGAAACTAATTAGAATGTATTACAACACTAGGTTTAAATGTGCATTTCTTATGTGAAGGGCCCTCTCTTTCAACTGCCTGGTCTGAATGGGGCTGGGGCTGGGGCAGAGCCAGTATGCATACACATTATAACTAGTTTTTGGCGCTGTGTGATCCTGCACTGTAGTGCACATAAAACGTGATGGTGTAAATGGACCCTAATACTAGTAATGCTAAATGTCAAATATATACTGTTAAACAGTAAACAAAAAACAGTTATTAGTGATAATTACCAATATCTAGGACGCGCTGTTTTGCGGTGTGCTGCCGCGAATGCCAGTACTTCCAGTATTTCAATTGTTCATCGCGGTTCTTGTCCTCACTGAACACAACCATAACCACGCTCTGCAGAGGTAAAACCAATAAAAACAATAAATGGCAGAACCATGTACCAGAGCGAGTGCTGCAGGGACACAGAACAAGAAGCAACAAGTAAGTATCCTTGTTTTACATGCTAGCTAGTGTAATCAGCGTTCTACAGTATAACTCTGTTTCCAAAGATGGGATAACTTTTTAGACATTTTTCCGTTTCATGAAAGTAGTGTTTTTGGAATCTATTTTATGCATGATAAACCGAGTTCGCAAAATGTTTTAACCCTTTGACTATTGGGCCCAATATCCTGTTTTGCACCATAGGTGGCCGGACCAATTTTTCAGTATGGAATACAGAGGAAAGAGGCATTGAATGTGATAGAGAGGTATAGAGCATTGCATGTAATGGAGGCATGAAGCACTCAGTGTTATAGATGAGGCATTAAGGGGTCTATTTATCATTATTTTCAACCCAATTTTCGACCATTTTTTGACCAAGATTTGATTTTCCACTCTATTTACTGTATTTTCACGCATTTTCCAACAAGCTTCACTGGTTGAAAATCTGCATCATACAATAACTGCCAATATTAAAATTGCATCAAACAAGATTTGTTGACATCTGTTCTTCAGTGGGAAAACTGCGTTATACTATTGAACCAGAGAATATCACTTAGAGAAAATGGATTTGATTGAAATTCGTTTAACATTTGTCATCAATAGAGAAGATCTGTCATAAGAGAATGCTTCGGCCTCCCAAAATCAAGGGTTCTACTGCCCATGCTTCACAGGGAAAAACTGTTATACTCTCCATCCAAAGTTGCAGATTTTATCATGTTTAGTGCCATGCTGCATAGTCTTGCCAGCAAACATCACTTGCAGCCAGAGCAGGAAAAGTAGAAAAAGCAACATCAACAGCACCAGCACGTCTTGTAATAGTGTCCAGTCCAAAACAGTGAGGCAGGAAATAGGAAGATGGCTTACACAGAAAGTAAAAAGATTTCAAGGTGATTTATCAAGATTCACTGAAAAATTCAACAAAATAACTGAAAAATATGTCCACTATACTTTCAACATTTGACTTGGCAAGATTCAATTATGCAAGATTCACCAATTAGCTGCCTGCATAATAAATCAGGTGAATGTTGCCAGAAACTGATATGTGAATCCTGTTGAAACTTTTGGGGAATCTTTTGGGTGATGTTTAAAAGAAAATCCTATGAGGCTGTGTATGTTGGAGAGCATATCTCCCTAGTGCCATGAATACTGAGGACTGAGCACATATCACTAGTATACATATACGCTACATATCGCTAGTGATGTGGATACTAAGAAATTAATTTGTGCACTGAAGTAGCATGCATGGATACTGGCAGGTTTGTCCCTAGCATAATCTCCACCTGAGGCAGGGAGGTGGTGGTGGTCATGTTGCGGGGGGAGGATGGGTTGATAGGGTTCTGGTGGTGTACCAGGACACTAGCAAGATCATCCTGCTCAGCTCCTGGCAATCAGTGATGTCAGGGGTTGTCAGAAGCTGAGTGGGATGCCAACCAGAGCTACAGTCTGTGGCTGTTTTATTATAAGGATGGCCCTGGATACTGAGGAATGACCTTTGTGAATCAGAGTACATGTATCACTTGGATAATGAGGAGTGATGAGCTGTGTCTACCAATGGGCAAGCCTCAACGATCACTGTATAAAGGAGGTATAAATCACAAGACTAGTCTAAAAAAAAAAGTCCATCAGCATGATAATAGGTATATGGGCAATGTCAGACAGCGGAGGTATGGGTGTATAAAGTGACTTCATGATATTAAAGAAGCAAAAAAACGTGTTGAGATGCACAGGTCCTTCCCCTCTAGGAGCCAACCCCTGGTATAATGGTAACAAACAAGAGAGGATAGAGAGAGGTGGGGTTTTTGAGTGGCTCCAGAGGGGACACAACCAATAAACTTTAGTCTTATACCACTATATATAAAATATAAATGTATTAGACAAAGACTAAGAACAATGGGTATGCATCAAAAGCATATAAAAAACAAACATATAAAAACATATACAGAACAGAGATTAACAAAAGACCTCCTATCAACCCTTGTGTTCCACAACCTGGGTGGTCTATAGGCTCATAATTATACATATCTCGAGAACATCACATCTGAGTCAGAAAAGAGGATGTGGTTGAGTTACTGAACCTCAGGTGGGAGCAACAATCTTTAAAGGGTGATAAATTCTTGGAAGGTACATCTCGACGCGTTTCGCACCTAAGGCGCTTCTTCAGGAGCAGAGGGAGGTAATCTAAGAGTAAAATAAAATGTAAATAATGCGCTCGAAGCAAGGCATTTTATATGTCTATATTGTGTTTGAATTTTTGAATTTTGTGGGATCGATGAGTCTTACCCCTTCGGTGTGAGGTCACCAGATGTTCGGTACAGGGTGGTATCGGGTCAAAGAACACAGTAAACCCAGACTGGAGAAAGATGGATGGCTAATCAGAGCGAAATAAAAAATGTGTGTATGGGTAAGTTTAAAAGGTGTTTGCATTGAGAGGTGATAGACAAACCCCAGTGAGTGAGTTTCAAACAAGTATATATATATGTATGTCTAATATCCAAGGCTGGCCAGCAGAACCTGTTAAATACACACAGGGTGCAGTGAAGACATGAGGTTGTTTAAAAGTAGAGCCAGGGGTCGAGCGTCGAGCTTTACCTTCCAAGAATTTATCACCCTTTAAAGATTGTTGCTCCCACCTGAGGTTCAGTAACTCAACCACATCCTCTTTTCTGACTCAGATGTGATGTTCTCGAGATATGTATAATTATGAGCCTATAGACCACCCAGGTTGTGGAACACAAGGGTTGATAGGAGGTCTTTTGTTAATCTCTGTTCTGTATATGTTTTTATATGTTTGTTTTTTATATGCTTTTGATGCATACCCATTGTTCTTAGTCTTTGTCTAATAAATGTATATTTTATATATAGTGGTATAAGACTGAAGTAAGCTCTGTGTGTCTCCACAAACATTCAGACATAGTAAGGAAGTCCAGGGAACTAAAAGTGTTCGGAAACATGATGACTGTAAGTGTTTAAAGAAATACTTTGCAGGGTAATGTATATTGGTTTGTTCTTGATTCAAAAGGTTTGAGAGTTTAATACTACTTTAAATTATAATTAAACCCTCAAGCTTTTTTTGCATATATCTACTGTTAGCAAGCACTATATAGATATATGCAAAAACATTAAAAAAAGTTACCAAAAAGATTTAAACTTACCTGTGTCTCAGCCGCGTGCTCCCGTCCGAAGATCTGAAGATTCTCAGGCGGCCACAAAGGATCATGGGGTGGGCGCAGTAGAGATCTTCGGCCGGGAGAAGAGGAGAGACACAGTGTAAGTCAATGCAGGCAGAGTGCACCCGCACAGACTCCGTGGAACAGGAAGGGACAGGAAGAGACAGGAGTCAGCGCTGGACCAGAGACCGGCACCAGCGCTGGAGGGACTGCTGAATAAAAGTGGAAGGAAGAAGATGATCGGATCAAGAGGCATCATTTAAGGTAAGTCCTTACACTAACATGTTGGGGGGGAATTTTTTTTTAACTTGAATGTAATTTTAAGTCCGAACTGGGTGAGCAGCTCTGTGTGCTGGTAGAGGTGACTTTTCTCTTTTATAAATCACAAAACTGACTGTACTAAATTACAAATCCTTTGGCAGCTGTTAGTCTGGAGCTTGACTTTAAAGTACATTATGAGGACCAATATTTTATTATTTAAAAGGTGTGACAATAGGTCCGTTGTGATGAGTGAGATACTGAAATAATACACTTTCCCATGTTCATGCCAGCGTTTAAAGACATTGGCCTATTCTGTTACTTCACAGCAAACCTGTGCCCAAAGGCATCCATCTTGAAAGCAAGAAGTAGAATTTAGACAGCCACTCAATATGGGTTTCCTTCTCTTCTCTTACCCATAATTCCACCTGACATGGAAACACGATCACCTGTGAAATATATGGCTGTCATACATTGTCCATTCAGCTTATCTAAAGAAGTAGCCTGGAGGGGTAACTTAAACATCTGTAGCTGCCATTGTAACAGCAAAGCTTACAAAGGGAAATTTAACTGCAAACTTTCCACTAGAGATATAGTACTTGGACAAATTGGAGCAACAACTTCAAAACATTTCTTTCATAATTCAGTATAGGCGACTGTATAACTTTAGTCAAATTTTCATTATCTTTATGTACTGTCATCCCTTCCATGTTGTCTTTTACAGAGCCTTTGTTTCTTCATATACAATAGTCATCTGTTGCCTAATGCGAAAATAACAGACTTCCTAAAGATCTCTCGGACATGTGGCAGACATGTGTTTAATGCATATTGTATGATCGTTACATGGGTTGTAAGATGGGAATCTAAGCCTATTTCTGCTCACACAGTAGAGGATGGGGGTTGATGAAAACTCAACCAAGGCAATCAACTTTGCTTCTGCTGCTGATGTCCCAACATTATCTTATGAGGTTATTCATATTCCATGTAAGATGGTGCTCAGAAAGTCCAATCACCTACAGTGTATGTAAACCCTAACAATTAACTTATCTTATTTGCTCCCTTTTGGTATGTTAAATGTACCATTAAAAGCATTTTGTTATATCTTGAGCACACTTCCTGTGTTATATTAAGAAAACGAAATAGTCTAAATAGAGGAGAGTGCTTTTGTTTTCTTTTTTCTTTTTGTATAATTGGTAAAATACTTGAATAAACATTTATTATATCTAAATAGATGAGAGTTGGAGGGATCCTGTAATTTTACAAATGAAAATTGGGCAGAGCTGACACCATTCGTTGCTAATTTTTAGTCTAGTAAAAAGGCATGTGCTGTTGGCCCACATCAGCAGATACACAAGTATGTATTTTTCTGTATTTGTAGGGACCTCAAAGGGATAAAACATGGGGAAATGTGCATGCATTACAGATATATACTGTAAATGTTAGTTTCATTTTGCTCTCACATGTGCATTAAAGGTCTTTTTTTAACTAAAGATTTTTTCTTAAACATTCATTATGGCTTCTGCAGGCAGCCTTCAACCAAATTATCTCAAGAGGAAAAATGTAGAAATGTATTTTTCTGGAAGAAATTAGCACCCCTATAACAGCCTCAGCTCTAAGAATGATTGCTACAAAATTTTGGACTGTGTCTATGGGAATTTATGCCCATTCAGCCAAAGAAGCATTTGTCAGGTCAGATTCTGAGGCTGGACAATGAGACCTGGTTCACAATAAGCGTTCTACTTTATTCCAAAGATGGTCATTACAGCTCAGGTCAGGGCTCTGTGCAGGCCGTTTGAGTTCCTCTGTACTAAATCCATCCAACCATGTCTTTATGGACCTGGTGCACCATAATTTGGAAGAGTGTACACATACTTTTACCCATAAAGTACCTAATGGTAAAAATATAGTGTTTCCAAGTTTTTTCCATATATATATATGAACGTTATCAGCCTAATATACATAATTAACCTCCCACAATGATAATCTTATCATTGTGGGATAATGGCAAAAATTAAGAATAATATGAATGTTAGTCAACTGTAAAATTTCATACCCGGACTTTTGAGATAGGATGCCTGAAACACTTATTGGCTCCAGTTTCACTCAGGGTGACGGCATAAAACTGCCCTTTGTTCAAATAAGTCATTGGTCCCTCCCCTTGTTTTTGCCGAAGAGATTTTGTAGCTTCTAGAGTATACTGAAAGGTGCTGTGGGAAAAACAACAAGATGTTTATATGATCACATCTCACAGCCACAATCTTAAAAAACATCTTTATGTTTAACAAACTTTACGAGCCGTGTCCACTACAAGAACACTGACATTTCCTATAGTTCAATGCCCCAGTAAAAAAAATATATTTGCATGTATATTACCTGGATGTTTGATCATACAAGAATTCCTCCGTCACAGAGGAGCCACGGTACTTCTAAAAAAGCAGGAAATAATGTAATAGTAAGAATTATGCCTGTTAAATTGCTATATATAACATCATAGTGAACAACCCCCATTCAGCACTGTGGTGCACAAATATTATGTGTATATCAGTGATCTAGCACATGCTAGCAGATACAGTCTGCCCAGTCACCAGTCCTTGTTCACTGATATGCAGTGCACTCCGAGAGGAGCTGTGTATCTATCTTTACCTGTACAGTCAAAAAAAATGGTTTGGTTGGAAATCACCGCAAGTGTCTTCATGGACTTCAAGCTAGTGCAACCTTTGCAGCCCTTAAAGGTGGTCCCCACTTGTGTAACAGTAAGGGCACCATGGGTTCATTTATCTTGCTGTGACCACACACTGATTTGGTTAGCGTTCTTGGCCTCAATAATGTAGACTGATCATGTGGTCACAGTTAAAGAGGAACTTTACCCTTATCTTTGAAATTACAACAAACACGCCTTTACAAATGTTTAGTAAGGGCAATCTACAAACACATAGGGGTCTATTCACTAAGCTGCTGTAGGCAGCCAAGTGAAAGACCGACCTGAAGTGAAGTGAGTCGAACGCTGTTCGGCTATTCACTTCAGGTTGGTACGGCTGATTTCAGCCGTACATCGGGTGGCTTCACGTGGCTTCGGGTCGGCCGATGGCGGGCGGTTCTGCTGCCGTTAAAAAAAAAAATGGAAAAAAAAACTCTCCCGGGCGCTCTAGGAGTCTCCCGCACCCGGCCGCCCAGGAGAGAAACAGCATTGCACCCGCCCTCTGCTGCAGTTCTCCATCAGGTCCATCAGCAGAGGGTGGGTGCAATGCTAGTTTACTATTGGCTATTGTAAATTGAAATAGCCAATAGGAATCTAGCAATGCATTCCTATGGGCAATTTAAAAAAAAAAAAATTATATTCTGACACGGCTTCGTGTCAGAATAAAGAAAAAAATAAAAGAAAAGCAGTGCTTCTCTCCTGGGGGCCGGGAGCGGGAGACTCCCGGAGCGCCCGGGAGAGTTTGCTGTCTGGAGATCAGTGTCCCTGGTTAGCTGGTAACCGGGGACACTGATCTCTCTGCAAGTGACCGGAGCCAGCCATAAGATCACTGCTGGCTCCGCCCAGCTGTCAGAAGCAGGCTGTCGGCCGGCCGCTCGGCCAGCTTCGACTTTCAGCCGAAGAGATGTACGGGCTATTGTGAATATTGTGAACTGAACTGAACTGAAGGGTTCCTGGGGCAGAAGCTAGCCGAAGGATCGGCCAAAGCTACGGCTAGATCCTTCGGCTGCTTCGTGAATAGACCCCATAGTTCTAAATAATTGCCGGATTTGTATTCTTTAATTCCTTTTTTACTTTTCCACCCCATTCTGCCTCAAGAGGCCATATTTAGTAAAGGCAGATTAATGTATCTCCCTTTGCTTCCTGCAACTCTGGCACCTGTGACTAGGATATGTGACCATGCACATCATCTCAGGGGAGGGAAATTCCCGTCCCTGAGATCTTGGGAGATTACAGATGAGATTTCCCAGCAATGCTCTGCTGATGTAACCTTCCCAGAATGCCATGCTTAGGCACATTACATCACTAATGCCCAAGAAAACCAGGAAGTGGAAAACCAATAATTGTAAGTAAAAGAAATATATGTTTGTTTAACTAATGGATGTAAGATGATTTCATATCGGCATTCAGAGATGCATTGTAATTAGTTTTTTAGTGAAAGGTGGTAAAGATCCCATGTTGATTCCCTTGTGTTGGAATAAAAGAATGAAAGGGAGAATCTGTTGCTCAGGACCTCTAGAATAGGTCTTCCATCAATGACTTAAATAAATAAGATGAATAGAGGTCAATGAAAAATCTGGTGCATCTGTGCTTGACCACCAATCATCCTCTATCTTTCATTTTCAAAGCTTAACGGAACAAGCTAAAGAGAGAAGCTGATTGGTTGCCATGGGCAACTGCTCAAGAGTCTGTCTGCTCCAGTTTTGATACATCCCCCC